TGTGTGACAGTGTGATGAGGCCACGAGGGTGTTGAGCTGTACACTCGACCCTGAAACTGAGGACATGGAAAAAAAAAAAAAAAAAAGTGTACTTTGCTTGTATAGTACAGATCCATTATATGCAACCAAAGCTCTAAAATGTACTCGCTAATAAAAATAAATTCCTGGCATTCTTTCTCTTTCGGTGTAATAGGTCGAATACAAGTCACATCACCACCCTACCCTATATAACGCTTGGCATCATCTATATTAATTCAATGCATCCCCTTACAGCCTCTTATCACTTCCATGAGAGTTTATAATAACAGTAAAAGAGATAGTCCCGAGAGGAAAGTCAAAATATTTATGTATTAGTAGTAGATAAGTCTAGATAGGGATGCATGCCATTTCACCGATTGAAGAAGCATCGCAGACCACCCCAAAGATAACAAGTGGCGCCACTTTCGATTATGATAGAAATGCCCCTTGACCACCAGCGCATCAAACGCACAGATGCATCCACGTGTGCAGCATCTTGGCGTCTTGACAAAAGCTGAGTCAATCGCTTCGAGGCCATGCGTAAGGCTGATTGCGCGGGAATCCGGACTGGCTGCTAGCGTGGCCTTATAGCCCACTATAAGGCGCTCAATGCCTGGAAACCAGGGTGGCCGAGTGGTCTAAGGCGATGGTTTTAAGTTATCTATTTCTTAAACACCATTATCGAGAGATGCCAGGGTTCGAACCCCTGTCCTGGTAGCAATTTTCTTTTTTTGTATAATGCTCAATTACGCTGCTCTGTATGTAAGACGCTGCAATAAAAAATGACAAGCGCTCAAAAAGTTCTTTTTTTCCTCATCCGGACTGACGTGCATATCAACTGCCCCAGCGTTACTCCGAAAGCGCTCCAGATATTCTCGCAAATACCCGGGGTATCCCTCCCTTTTTTTTTTCTTGTCGCGCATGGGTCTCTTCTCCAGGTTTATTCGTGCATTGTTTCCATTGCTGTCCACCTCCACGTGCGATACCCATTCTTTCAAGATAACTTTGTAAATTTATTTTACGTTTAATTCATTCCGTATGCACCAATTTTTCTTTTCTTCAGGAGGCAAGAAGGAATAAGCATAACGGGCAGTCCAAACAAGAACTAGCTACTGTAAGTAGTCTCAGGCGATAATTGCCCAAATCGTCATCTCGAGATCGAAGGATGCGGTGCTCTATTAGATCACAGATCCATCCTGTTGTAGTCTCACCAAGCAGTCGAAACTGGATAATCCCGTAAACGTTGCTTATTTGATGCTGATTATCTTGCCGTAACTGCCTCTCTGGTACTCTCTTGTATATGAATACGCATGTGTTTAGTGATACCAGAAGACAGCATGCTTAGCTGACACCTCGAGGCCTTTGTTCATACATAGGTACATACAGACGTAATATTTGTAGAAAATGTTAAACAGAACTTATTTATTGCTTATCTGAGAATAGAGAACTGTTAGAGGATAGTCAGTGCCACGCAAGACATGCATATAAGCAAGGCATGTGTATAAGATGTGGTATCAGCACTCTCACACCCCCTAACTCAAACCTTTCAATTTTTTTTTGGAAGGTCTCAGTAGGACGCCTGGACAAGTGCCGACCCCAGTTGCCACTAAAAAAACTGCCGGCATGAATTCAGAAGGATGCCATCAGACCAAAATTGTCCATCGATCTCAATGGCTAACCTAGTCTTGGTCACATCGTGATCGAATCCCAGAGTCAAATAGTCTTTGCCTCGCTGCCTGTTATACACCAATGTTACGTCGCCCACGAGAAGAGCTTGTCAGTTAAAGGAGTGTAGTACTTGCATTTACAAGGGTAAAGCAAAACGCAGTGTTAGGAAGTGGGAGCCGATTTCGGCAGGGGGCGTTGACAACCGCTGGAGTTGGTCATCAAGGTCAGAAAGATGCTCTATAGTGGAGATGATGCTTTGCATAATGTTGTGTATCACAACGGCGCATATAATACGAAGAAATCGGCGTCTCCGGTCAGATATTGCGTTGTAATGTGGCGAACTATGTCACTCGCCAAGGTAGTTCATCGACCGGTCATATCTGTAACCTAAGCTTACTACTTTATTGAAAGGGCAATGAAAAAGAGGGATGTAACTATAAAAATGGAACTCAATGTCTACTAGATGAAAAGACATAAGTGCAAGATGAATTTTACAATTATCTACCCCTTAGTGGATTACCGTTCCTGTCTCGCAACAATTGGAGAGTACCGAGCCATACCTACACCATTGACATTTATCCAAGTTCTATTTCTCGAAAGCACTGAAGATCTAAAAAGGTAAGCCCACTGAGAAAGGTCTATCCATAACCCCCCTAGCTGGGAATAAGAAACAATGGTTACTCGCTAGCCGTATAACAAGGGCTCGATACTTATGGGGTAGGCGATATTCGGCACTCGCACCCCTGAGAGGACGAGTTGAAGTAGTATTTCTCCATTCTTGGCAGTTTTAGAGGCTTTCACCCCACGTAATCGGGTATAATGGATCTTGATAGCGTGTGCGGTGAAGCAGGGCATCTCGACAGGCCCGCGGGGGTCATGTTTCATCTCCTTGCTCATTTTTGACTTGACATCTGCTCCATAGTTTCAACGTCAGTATTCTGAATACACCGCCCCGACTCAAACGCTTCAAACGAACTGAATCTATCGTGATATGCTCACTGATGTTATGCCTCCTTACTCTTATCTTTGACTGTCGCCTCTGTTTTTTGAGTTGCGTGAATGGAGGATCAAAAACTTGATATGATACTGCCTTTGCAAAAGCACCTGTCTCATAGCAGTTTATCAGATTCTAATAAGAGTTGGAGAGACTATCTAGAGATAAGCTTTCAAGGCCATATCTTAATCCGATCTAGCGTATAGTTGTGTTGAAGGAGTAAGATGGCGTACCTTGTTATATTCCGTAAGGCTTTGAACTTATATAGGGCTCTATAACGCGCCTAGCGTTCAAGTTTGTGAATGTGGTAATGGCGCAAGTTATGTCTCATATTGAAGTGAGTGCCATTTGACCGGGTAGGTAGGTATAAATGCTAATTTCTTTTGACATTGTTCTACTGTTCCTTTATTTTCATTCTCATTTAATTGTTGATGAACTCGCGTTGCTTCTTGTGTATTGGCCTTCAGTTACTGTTGGAGGTTGAGTTATGTGACTGTCGTTTGTTTCGTTTACTGGGAAAACCGTGCAGAGGCGAATTGAAAGCAAGTTATTTGACGGCGTATTATATGGAAAGCTCATCTATAGCAAAGTTTAACAACCTCATTGAACACTAATAAGCTTCTAGCTTTGGTTATGCCTCGAAATTCTCATTTGGCCAATACATCTCTATGTTTAGTTACACACAACAACGGTGATTTTCTCTGTCATGGCGTCCTAGTAGACTTACAAAGAATGAACATTATCCCAATTACTTTACTCACAGGGTCAGACGGGGACTGGGATTTACGTAGCCACATTGGATAGAGTTGGTAGGCGCATAATATCCACACTCTTGCGATGTAACAAAGACACAACAGTCAAACAAGAAGAGAGAGAAAAAAGGTGTAGCATGTGAAGAAAAAATTGATCGTGTTTGTATTAATATCGCATGATAGAGCCTACGAGTTTCATTTTCGAGGGGCTAGGTAGATCTAGCTCGACTAACCAACATATCTGGGTTAGTCTAGAAGGCTCAAATATTCTATCGTGACTTGCTTCCGCCTCACCTAGACAGATATTATGAAGCTGGATCATTCTCATGAAGTTAGTATAGTCTTGATATACGCAGCTATACTTGCGTCTTTGGGAATTAGGGAATGTGTAAAGTGCTGAGTGTGGCGATATAGGGAGGTCCAGTGCAAGAGTAGCCACTAACTCAGCAACAAACGGATTAATTTGGTATGAACACTATGCTACTACCAGAACTCATCTTACGGCTCATGATGATACTTCTTGACGTAAGTGCTCTTACTCAAGATCACGCACCACAATCGTGCATGCGACGCCTCATGCTGCGCTTGGCCAGCTCACCCAAATACATACTTCGAGGTTTCGAGTCTTCCATAGCGGGCTATGTAAGCTTCAAATTTTACTGCTGTCATCAAAACGACTTTGGATAGACTGAGTTCAGTGACAGTATCAACTCTCTGGACGACATTGGTGTGTTAACCTGCTTCTCATTTATGCGTTCTACCCTATCTACCGCAACTAAGGCGCATTATACACCAAGATTGCCCCGGCAGAGAGGTAGCACCAACTTCTTCATTCGCAAATGTGAACCTTTCAACGGCGGCCTGTTTTAATTGACAAGCTTGTTGATGTATCAATCATTGCGATTCTAAGCTGGCGTGTCAGTCCTTGAACCGAGGCGAATTTATCGCTTGCATGCATGTTCTCGCCCTTAATGTGTCCATATTCATCACAAAGATGTCACTTTTAATCATCCAAGTCAAAACTAAGTAGATTTCACTTGAAAGTGGATATGAATTTGAACTTGTCGCTACAATCTGTCGCTGGAGCTAAACATGAAAACACAAAGCGAAGAGTAAGAGCCCACTTTAAATGTCATCTCCCTCCACTGTAGTGTGTGCTGAAACAGAGTGACCGCATCCTCATTGATTTATTTTTTCTCCCCCATAGGTAATCATTGCTGCCGAGACGACTGACGAATGAGAAGCTCCGGAAGAGCTTCCGAGTTCCTCGCCTCTCTATGAGCTCGCGTCTGCCTCAACACCAGAGCGGGGTAAGTTCAAGGTGGCGAAGATATTTTTTTCTTCTGTGGACTTGAGACTACCAGTATAAAAAGAAGGGAATATCTCGCTGAGAGAAATCTTTTGACACATGACGATATTGAGCACGATTTGTTTTTTTTCTCGCTGTGTAACGATACCAAAGCTGCAATAAAAGACACATCTCCGTCTGCTACTACAAGAGTGGAATGATTGAAGATGAGAATTGGGAATGAAGACAAGAGATGGGCAAATATCTCTCTGCCTTATCACTACCCCAGGCGATTGCCCCTGGACGGCATACTAGGCATTCCAAAGGGCAAGCCCGCTTGAGCATTTTCAACATCTTCAACAGTCCCATTTGAGCTGCTGAGGCTCCCCATCCGCTGCCGCTCCTCTTTCTGGACAAGCTTATCCACGTAAGTCTTGGCCTCGTTGGAAATCCACTGATTAATGTTACTGTCGTTGCACTCTGTATGGTGCATCAAATCGGACTTGACCTGGCCAATCTCCTTGCGAAGTCGCTCATATTCATTGTGGAGGCTGCTGTTTTCCACCTTAAGACTTGAACTTTGCTTCTTCAGATCATTCACCTTTTCCCTCTTCTTCTGTCGGCACTTGGATGCGGCCACCCGGTTTCGCCGCTTGACCTGTTCCTTCTTTTCTGTCGGATTGCGAGAGTTTTGCGGCCCTCTCTTTCGCTTATTGTTTCTGGCTGTGCTTCGCTCTTTGTCGGTTATAGAGCTGGGCGATGGCTGCGTATGTGTGCTGCAAGTATTAGGCGAAGCTTCGGATACTATTGGCGATTCGTCCATTGGAAACATTAGAAATTGATTGTCTTGTTCGCTTCTCAAGCTGGAGGATGTGGGAGTGTTCAGTAGATTCGGATCCATGGCCGTGGCCGCGTCACCGTCCGTGAGCTGTGTGTAGTACCCTATTACATCCCATGGCTCGAATGCTGTTGGCAGCGGGTATTCACTGCCATCACCGCCGATGACTTGATTCAGCGAGTCAAAGTGCAGGTCAGGGAGCCCCGCGGGTGGACTGGTTCCGTCGTCCTGCATGCTGAGATGTGCTTGCCAGTAGGTATCTCAATGGAGTCAAAAGCGGTTGTTGTGTGTATGAAATGAATCGGAGATGGGGATGTTTTGTTGCTAAGAGTTCGTGGTGAATGTACGATTTCTTGGTAAAAACTTGGAAGAAGCTCCCAAGTCTCGCTCATGTGTTTTTGAGTTTCATCAAGTATCAAAACAATCGCCCGAGCATAATTTGCGACCCAGTTCCAGTGGCGGCGTTTATAAAGGGTGGGAAATGCAGAGGCTGCCCTTGAAACCTGCTTTTTTCCGTTCGGTAAACCCTCGTAAGCTTGTATGTGCCGTTCCATCATGCATTATCTGTATTGGCTATTGGATCGGGCTATTGTTTGTGTGACGACCAATCAGGGAGGCGGAGTCTCGCATTGCTACATTAAATATTAGCACCTCTTATATGCTAACTGTATTATTCTGATATATCTTTTAGCATTGCATGATCTAGACTACATCCGGCGTCGCAACCTGTGTCCTATCTCTACTTGGCCGATCGTATTACGATGCAGGTCTTTCGAGAAGAAAAAAGGCCGTAACGCCAATAGAAGATATATTACATCGAATAGACTCAATGGATGCGTCACTGAACTTTTGCCCATAAAATCCTCACACAGTACTGGACTTCAATCTTTATTAGCACTATGTGCAGACTAAGATTCACCCACGTGCTCTCCATCGGTTGGGTTTTCGGCACCCTCCATCTCGGGCTGCAGCGCATCTCCCCGCCCTGTACAATGTTTGTCGATTTGAGTTCGACATATATGAGCCCCCCAGGCATGCGAGGGAGAAAAATGACATCTCCATGTACGCGTGAAACTGCCACACAGCACGTGCATTTTCACACCGAACAGATGGAGAGCTCTAGGACGGAATGCTTCGGCTATTAGATGTGCCCTTGAGCTGCTGCTTCGACTCGATGTCGCTGCTATGGCTCGATCTCGAGGTTTTGGAGGAACATGAGGACACATGTCTCGTTGATGAATATGAACACGAGCAACATGACTGTTGCCTGATGAGCTTGAACCCAAAGCATAGGCAGTACTGAACGGAGACAATACAGTAGAGACCGTAGATGGAGTAAGCTAGTCGTTGTCTCGCTTCTGACATGGATAATTGTAACGGTTCTCTGGGGTAAAAGAGCGAGCTGTCCACTACAAGATTCCTTGTTATACTCGTCTTGGATAGCATGTCATAAGCGGCGTTCAGCTGTTATTGGCACCAAGCCCATTATTCTTCCAAGTGTTCGACAACCTTTCACAAAATATTTCTAGGCACTTGATGTTTCGCACCGTGTCTCACCTACACCTACCTGATGATTGGTCACGGAATGACTACCGAAGTCCAATCAGTGGCGCAATACACACGCGATTTCCCCACATGTCTTGCAAAATGATGCAATCTTCCCGGCCGGTTATTTTCTTTGCGCTCGATTGCAATGGTTTGAAATTTTCGGCCGCATTACTCAATTACTATTGGTGATTGATAAATGCCCATGTTGATTCATCATCGAGATTCAAGGCGCATGGCAAGTTCCCATCAAAGTGCGGGTGGCGAGGGGGCGATGTCCAAATCCCACGAACTGTCCATGCCCACCTGTAACGCGACACATGCAATAGCGGTGTCTCATTTGTGCCCAAGATTTATTCAGCGGCCCCTACTGCCCAACAAATTCCACAGTATAGCTCATTTACTTCCCCGATGCCATTGATTGTCTCCAGGACACCTGCGCGCGCCACCATCGCCGGAGTTGGTAGCGCTATTTTAAAATAAAAAAGGGGGCTGGTGCTTCCCCAAGCGATTGTGAATCGCTCATGTATTTGCGGGTAATAGGATGCGGTGGAAGGGAAAACGCTGGACTGAGATCCCCATACTAAACTCACCAAATCCAGTGCATGCTCGTCCGGAGTATTCCCCCCCCCCCCCCCCCCCCCCCTTCCCTCCTTGATAGGATAGTGAAGTGTTATCCGCTCCAGTGCCGCCTACGCTATGACGCGTATCACATCATGACGGCTAATTCCATCTGCAGGACAATTGTACCCCTCAGAAGACATGCCCAAAAGCGCATAGAAAGAACGCTGACCAGTGGAGCGAGCTACTCATCTTATTGCAGATATAGCTCCAGACTTATGGCGCGTTCTTCGAATCAAATGCAGTAAATCGATTGCGTCCTCCGAGTTTGTCGATGGCGGGAAGCATCTAATGCACACAGAGATTCGGTTAGAAAGCTATATAAAGCAGTAGTAGCCTGTGGAGATGAAAAGTAGTTTTGTGGCTCGCCGAGGTTTGTTTCATACAGTACGTATACTATTAAAAGTTCTTATCTAGTGTGATCATGCCCGGTAACCCTTAGCCTACCGTAGAAGCAACTCTAGAACACCAAGAGAATTTCACTACTATGACTTAATAGATTAAATCAAAAGCATTGACCTGATGCGGGAATTTTGCAGAGGTACAATTCAGATATCCATGCGGGCTACGAAAAAATGCCGCCGGTCTCCTACGATGAAATCGCAAGTGATAGGCCGCGGGGTTGTTGCACCTTGATATCGTACTCATCTCAACCAGAATGGAACAAAGCAAATCCACCAAGGATCCTCTTGGTCATCAGTGTAATAGACCTCCATCTCGGGCTGAGCATCCTGATCTCCGTAGCCCTCAAATGTGGCATACTCAGCACTCATTACCCATTCTCGATGCGGGTCTTTATTATCTTGATGCGGAGCTTTATTACGAGTTAGTGGAAATTTTCTCTCAGCACCACATTAGTCTGTGCTTACCAGTATTGGTCTCCTCAGAGTGCGTCGTGATTGTCTGGTAATTCAGCTGGACAGCTGGCTCTTTCAGGCCCGTCTTTTCCGAATTCTGGGTTGGACCCAGAAGAGGTTGACTGAGCAGCCGAGAGTTTGGCGAAGGGGTGTTATTTGTTTTGGAATCCATTGGGATATGCACGCAACGGTCGTAATTCTTGATAGATTGGCAAGAGTGGGAAATGTTGTTGCGATTTTCAAGCCTGTTACTTGGGTAACAAGAAATGTGATTTGGGCTTGGAAACACGGTCTCGTAGAATAATGGTAAGGCTTTCCCCAGTTGACAACCGTCTATTCTGCTGCTCTTTGGTATTGATTCTCAACTGCATATTTTGGTGTTTGATGAGTTAAATGGTCCGTCGATGCAAGGTGTGGTTATGCGCAGCTCTTCGTTCTCGCACAAGATTTTGTCAATGGTGGTTTTCGTTGGCAGGTTGGATCCTAGGACTAGGTAGAAAAAAAGTGCAGCATGATTATATATAGTTTTTTTCCTTGTTCAGCTCTATGGAGCCTACGAAATCGTAAAAGCACGAAGGTTCGCCACGTTGCACAGCAACGGGTAGAACTGGCTTTCGCCGCAAGCCAAGAAGAAGCTTTTGGCGTAATCCCGGAGGGTATAAGCGGGGTGGCTCCGATCAGCACACAAGCTTTGGTGCATCTGTACCTGCTTGCTAGATCTTGGAAATATTTATTCAGGCCTTGTCGGGATGGGCTCCGACTTCTTTATGTTGAAAGACAGCCAATGACGGATAGGGCATGGCTGATTCAAAAACAGCGCCAAAGACAATCTCAATCGCTGGCTCAGTGGCTCTGCCTGCCATTTCACATCTACCTAATAAGCACATAATTATCCATTCGAAGTCAGAAGCAGGTAACTAATTGGGCTTTGTATAGCGCTAGAAAATGTCCTTGGTCGTGGTGCAGAGCTTCTAACTTTATCCACCTTCCTACTCGCCATCCGCGCATCCTTAATGTTGCATTTTCCTTGCGTGGTGTGGAAGGGGTAGTGCCTTCTGAGAGCGATTTCCACTTGGAAATCCCCGTGAGCGAGGGTATAGTGCGCTGCCAAAGAGATTTATGCCTTGTAGACTGTTTTTGGCTTCGAATAATATCCGCATGCAGTAGTTTACACTCCCGGAAATGAATAGCCAAGTCAATGATGGAGAGCTGGCGATCGTAACAGGCTGTCTGAGCTAGGCATTCAGATCTTAAGTATCGCAGCAACAACGTACGCGAAGGACAAATTAGCCGCACGACTCCTTCACGACGGTGTAAAGATGGGGAAGCGAATGAGTAATTTTGGACGCCAAGCCTCCAAAGAGCTTACCATATCTCCTGCTTGTGATGAGAACAACTAGAAGGGGCCCGATTCATTTACGAAATAGGGAACATTCAATTGGGTGTCGCATGTGCCTCCAGCTTGACTGTTGTGAAGTTGTGCTGAAATGCAATTAATAGCCCACATTGTCTCATCTACCAGGCTGTAGAAGCCGAAACGCTTTCAACAATCCCCATGCCAGGCGATCTGATGAACGTCTCGGTGAAAATCAGCGAAGTAGTCACGATTACAATTGGTCGCACCGTATTTAATGCCTCTTGCGAGCTGTGGACAATCTTCAATGCCGTGCTTTGGAAACATTACGGCGAACGCAGTCCATCACCCGAGTTTGCTGAGAGCATATATCGTTCGCTCTTGTCATGAGCACAGTCTCTGCCACTCGACCTAGTAAGAGGTAAAGAAAACGGCCACTCTGACACTCTTGTGCAGTAAGCAAATAAACTATGGCAACTTCTATCGTGAGAATGATGCATATGGCTATGACGAAGCACATCGTGTAGCATCTGAGCTTGAACTTTTGGGATGACATCACACTGCAGCCATCCGTGGCCATTCTCTTGATGCTGATGAAGGGAATGTAGAGGCTACGTAGATACTCGACTTGGGGCTTGGGGTGGATAATCAGGACGCTGTGCGTGCTGGGAAAAAGGCCGGCAATTACGAAGAAATGATGGCGGTTGATAAATTCATAACCGGCTTTACAGAGGGAATTGATAAAAGTTCGACACGACAGTGAATTCACCGGCGGATGCCTGTCAACAGCATTCGATAAGTAGAATGCGATGAGCCTTAATTATAATGGCAGAGACTCATGAAATTTTACCGAAATTGAGAAATTGTTTCTATATCCTTCAAGCTACGTGGAAACTAAAGGTAGGGACGAGTTCAGATCACCAGCCTACTATTCTTCACCGCGGTTGTTCTAAGCTTTCAGACAGACACTACATCCAAGTCTCATAATAAGAGACAACATAGTTAAAGGAGACCAAGTATGTTGGATTGTCCCAAGTTTCTACATAAATGAGTTTCTAGAACCATATACCCTTAGCTCCGCAACTCATACTTTCGTAGCGAACTTTCCGTGTTGAAGATCTCCCTACAGAAACTTACGCTGCGCTCTCCAAGTCTAGCCCTGCCACAGGGCTGGGCCTGGAATTGTGTAATTGGTAATCGTTGTGTAAGGATTGAACAAGATGCCTGGATCAGTGGGCTTATAGAGTGCAGTTGCTGCAGTCCCAGCAGGAAGCGATTTAGTGCCCGAACCAGTGATGGCAAGATTAATGCACTGCGGATAGTTTTGCATGCCATCCGCACTCCCAGCACCATGAGCACTAAGGAAGTTAGATCAACACTGTCAATCTTGGGAGAATGAGATGACAAGAACATACGCGAGAATTTCATGTCGTATGACATAGTTTCCGGCCTTGAGGCTTGATGGGATTGTCACACTCCACTTGTTGCCCTGGTTGATGAGGACCTGATTCGCCCAGACCTGGGTAGAATAATTAATGCCTGACTCCTGAATTTTGACCCAGCGCAACGATGTCTTGTCCACATTCGTGCATGAGCCGCTGCACTGGGCCAAGTACGTAATAATAGGGCCGTATGGGTGTGGCCATGGGTTAGGACCCCAATAGAAAACAACGGTGCCGCCCGCTGGTATAGTCGCGGTGATTGCACCAGGCGCCGAGTTTTTGTGGCAGATGATATCAGGCGTGGTGTATGCATCTGGGGCGATGAAGCCTAGATCGAGATCCTCAGCGTACCTATGCCATCCGTATAAGCAATGCCCTCAAACGTTTGCAATGAGAATGAGAGCATTTTTTTGGTTAGTACATACCAACCTGCAACATTGGGGAATTTGCCAGTGTTGACCTTGTCATAATAGTAATCAACTATTTGGGGGGAATATGTTAGATGCCGTCTTGCTAGTTTAGAGTTAAAAAGTAATAGAGAGACATACGGATAAAGCCCTGGTTGTACGCGCCATTGATGGTGAAATTCTGGACTTGCCCATGGCCAAGGACACTTCCTGCAAGACAGCCGAGTGCTGTAAGAGTCAGCTTCGCGGCAGACTTCATTTTGTATACCTTGAATCCTGAATTCACGGTTGTTAATAGCAGACGACCTATTTGATACAGAGCATCGTCCCCATCTTATATAGGTATTTATAGACATTTCTGCTGGGAAGCTCAAAATCTACGATTGGTGGAGTAAAGCTCCGGTTTGCATATGTTTCATGCGCCTATGGAAACAAATATTTAACCGGCGATGGGGGTTTACAGGGATTTCGAGTGTGCTACCTTATATAACATAGAGGCAGTGCCGCTCCTATCATGTGCAGAAGCAGCATCACCTCATATCACGCACCAAGGCGATGTCACCTTTTACAATGCGTCGAAGCAGTGTTTCTATAGCCAGTTTAATACAACTACGGTTAATAGCATGCTTAAAGCAATGGCTAATATTGTTTTATAGCCTCAATTTGACTGTTACATTAAGCAATGTGAGATATGATCAAGCAAAGCTGCGAAGCAGCTTTGCGAGGGTAACTGAGAAAAGGGCGGCTTCCGGATTTACTTCTTGTTAAAAGAAAGTACTATACAATCACTAGCCATAGCTAAAATACTAAGTGGTAATTAATTAGTTTCTCAAATTATATCGCTTTTAACCGCCCGTAATACACTATAGACCTCTTTTCTCTATATGTTAAAAAATTATTGCGATGTATAGGCTGTTTTTTTCTACTTTATTATAATGTGTTTTATAAAAAGTTTAGCTATACACCTCTTACAAATCCGCTTTCACATCTTTACATTTACATATGTAGATCTAGATAATGGGATATCTAGAAAGTAGAGAACTTAGGCTATCTGTACAACATGCTACTGTAGGTGTCAAGCTCGCTGGGTAAAGGTCGCCGCAGGCGCCCCCGGAGGATAATAATGCAATTCCGCTGTGGAAATAGAAAGAAGAAGCAAAGGAAGAAGAAGAGATAAAGAAGAAGAGATAAAGAAGAAGAGGTAAAGAAGAAGAGGTAAAGCAAGAAGAAGAAAAGCCCGTTCTCTCATGAAGCAGCTTTGCTTGCCCCTATGGACGCTTCTAGCGGGCATCAAGCTTGTAGCGTTGCCGCATATACATGGGTTCTACAGCAGCCGTAGATAATGGCCTAAGGAAATAAGGATTTCATTGTTGCCGGGAGCCTAAGAATCGAAAAGACCGCTGCATCTCATCTGCACATCTGTAATAGTGCCCTACACTAGGCTGCAAAATCTCTATAAGTAATAAACGTTTTAGGAACTTACAACATAGGTTAATGCCAGCGGGAAGCTGACCTAAGGAATGCGCTGCTGAAAAGACCGTTTGCAAAGGCGCCGTAAAAATTATAGGATCATTTATAACAACCCGCGAGAATTCTAAGATTATACATACAACGACCGCGATAATTCCAGTTATCTATTGTATATACCTACATATAAATTTCAGAAAAAAAGACAAAACCTTAAACAGCCCTGTAACCTTCCTTTTAGTCGTAGGTATCCAGGTAGTAGTATGTGCGCGCATACTATTCGCATGAAATAGCCTGGTATGTTTACAGTAGACGCCTGCCTGTAGGTAGCCATACTTGATAAAAAAAGGCAGGGGCCTACTCGCCTTAGTCATTTAGGCAGCCCGCGGGGTAAGCGCGTTTTCACGCAACTTTTGTCTTCTGCCTCCAGGTTTTTCCATCTCTGCTAAACACGAACTCATTAATCTAACCACAAAATGGCCGGGTTTCAGTTACCTCATCTGAAAGATCTGGGCATATTGGTCCCCAATATTCAAAGCCACCCTTTCAGAGAGCAGCTCCCATCAAATCACCGGTAAAGACACGTCTCCCCGCTGGCTAGATGTAATGACAACTGGCCCCCCACAGCTAATAAGCTAATGGATTAGGAACCGTTCTGAACTCTCCCTCCAAACACGAAATGTCCAGCTCCATTCCCATGTGGAGACCACCCCGTCAACCTATGGGGAGACGGCCAGAATACAGGCCTCTACGAATGATATAGCTTCGTCTTCAAAGACACATCAATATACAACTCAACTCAAGCTCCCTGCCTCACATGCTGTGTATTCGAACTTTTACCTGAGGTCCGACGGCGTGTTGTTTGAGAGCGAGAAGCAACTTACAGCCGACCGAGCTAAACACGCGCTCACCTTAGCCATATTGCCCATCGAAGACGATGAAGCACATGGCCGAAAGAGAATCCGATCGAAAGAGTCGAAGTCAGAGAAACAACCAACAAACAGATCCTATCCCCACCTCTCCTGTGAGGAGTATCAGCCGCCGCCGGGCAGCTTGCCTCAAGATCTCGCTGCGATATTTCTCCACCTGGTGACTCTTATCGACAGACACTTGAATCATAATAAGGATGGAAATAAGAGACTGACAGATGCTACTCGCGTCAAGAGGCAAATCTACACATCCAAGAACGATGTTTGGACACGCGGACGGCAGATAAGGTGCTTCCAACTAATACAACGCGGCCGCTGGCTTATAAACATGAATGTATCACTCGGTGAAATTTATGAAGAAAGGCCCGAAGGAGGTAATGAAACTATAATGATCATGTCTTGCCTATCTGGCCTCTTCAATTTACCCTGGCTACCCCCTGGCCGATTCAAGGAGCTGGAAGATCTACGAAAGCAAGATGAAACCAAATCATTTCGCCAGGGCCAAGGCGCACGCACGACATTGGCTTCTATACCAAATATAGCGCCTGGTATATTACAAGGGTCATTCGCCAGCGCTGGAGACACTGCAGAAATAACCACATCTACACTTAGCAACACGCCAAGAACACCTTGGGATGAACGCGGTGACAAGAGCAAAAGGCCAAAGTTTGCCAGAGATAGCCATGTCACAAACCTACGACCTACCTCAGGGCTATTGTCGAATCATCTTGGGCAAAACGTGTCTAGCGGTTTGACATATGAGACGGCATCTACGATTTTGGTCAGCCACTGCACCTCTCTTCAACAGCCCGTTAGCGATCCACAGAACTACCATGACGCGGGTGGCATCGTATCAGTTCCGTTTAACGGTCGGGGCACCAGGCCAGTGGAATTGAATAGAGTATTGTTTCCATTTGATGGTTGCGGCGTTAAGTTACAACCAGATTCATCAGGATGGCTTTATCCATTTAACGGTTGCTGTGTCAGGCGCGTGGTTTATGATGCATCTGAAGATGACATTCCTGCTTAACCCTTGTGACATTCGGCCACCGAGGCTACATGTTGTCACTCTATATATCAGTGGCCGGTATATGGTATAATTTCAACGCTTGGAACACTATTCTATAGACCCCAAAGTCCAACCACAAAAAGTGTACAAAGATTCTTCACCCAACAACCGTATACTAGTCTCCTGGTTCATAGTATACATATAGCCCTCTTTAAGTGATTTTCCATCAATTGTAGTAGAGAATGGTGGTTTCATTGGAATAAGGTAGCCTGGAAACGTACAGTTTCGAGGCGGCGGTAAAATAGATGAACAAGTCACTTTCATAATGAACCACATTACATCCTATTGGTATTAATATATAAAACAAATTAAGGAATATTAAAACTTACAGGATTCTTGTTTACCGGCAGCTTAGTGTGACGAACTGTACACTAGATAGTTAGTATAGGGTAGATTCCCAAGAGATAAACCTAGTAAATAATTCTAGGTTTATGTTAGCAGAGCGGTTAGGAAACCTAATAGGTAATATAGGTAATAGTAAATAATATTACTAGATGGTAGAAGTGCAGAGTGTGTTATAATCTTAATTTTGTGTTAATAATTGGCTATTTAAGTTATTTAAATAAGTGTAAAGAAGTAAACTTATATATTTAGTTTATTTGTGTGTAATTATAGTTATAGTAGTGATTACTATAGTAATTACTGGGATAGTGTTAGTAAGCGCAGGAGTGATTACTTGTAGTGCAGTAATTACTTTCTTCTAGTTGGTTATTTAGAATATAGTATATTTTTTCTAGGGCCTGCTAATGCAACTAGGTGTTATTAGGTTATAATATAATACTCCCTTTTTGTTAGTCTTGTCCTTAAGGCCTATAACTAGGTTGTTTTATTCCTGTTAGTGTGTCTCTTTTCTTTTTTCTTTAAATTCTTATTAATATAATATTTAATCTTTTTTTTTTAGCTTCCCTTTTAACCCTTTATTATTATTATTTAGCAGATTTAGTTACTATTAAGGGTTTTAATATTATACCTTATTCTTATTATTTATTTAAGGGGCTTTACTACTAAATAGTAAAGTATTACTCTTTAAAGTATAATAAATATATAAGGGCTAGTTACTTATGCAATAGTTAAGGAGTAGCTTTTAATTCTTATAAGTTCTTATTTTTATTATAATAAAGTCTTATGCTAATTTATAGTGTCCTATATTATTTTAGAGTCTTATTATTTAAATTTAGCTAAGGAGTTAGCTGAACTTTTATTATTATAATATTATAAGGCTTTTTATAAGGCTTAGGCTGAAATAGATAAGGCTTTAGATTATCTAAAGTAGTTATATTATTAGAAATAGCAGCTTTATACTAAGGGTAAGGAAATAGTATAGTATAGCTTAAGCTTATTAAATAAGCTTAAGGATATTAAGTGGCAGGAGTTAGAGGTTCTTTTTATTATATAAAACTACTAGGGGGTAGATCTTCTTAATTCTAATTTCTTACTTAACCCTTCTTTATTATTCCTAGAGACTAAAGAAACTTTATTATTAGCGCATAAGAATTAAAATTTTCTTTAGGTTCTTATAAGTTTTCTATTTCTAGGTATTTCTTTTACTTAACTAGGTACTTTATATTATTTATTTCTAGGTTTTAGTATATAATAAGTATTTTTTTAATTTTATATTTTTCTTTAATATCTTAGACTATTATTTTATTTATAATAAGTTTACTTATCTTTTTATCTACTAGTGCTTTTTTAAGTAGTAATATATAGAAGATAATTGTTTTTAATTTTATGTTATTAGGTAAGTCTAGCTTATAGTTAACTTTACTAATTTTCTTTAGAATTTTAAATAATTTAAGTTTCTTAAAATCTAGTTTATTACTTAGCTTATTTATTTTAATATTTAGTAGTTTTTTATTATATAAATATTATAGTAGGTAAACTATATTTCCTTTTTAAAGGGTTAGTCCCTTAATCCTTGTATAATCTATATATTCTTTTATATATTACCTAAAGAATTTAAGTTAAGTTTTAAGTTCTTCTTATAATTAGATTATATCTTCTGCAAGAATTTATATGTTATTTGCATTTGGGCTATTATATAGTGGTCTATAGGCTTCTGGTGTAAACCTATAGTTAGTATAAAATGGTATAACTCCTGTGGTTTTTGTTATAAAGCTATTATATTATATTTAAGTAATTAGTAGTATTTTAACCTAGTTATTTTACTAGAGGTTAATATAGTATTATAAATATACTTTAATAACTTAATTTATTTATTTTATTTATTTATTTATTTATAGGTGGAATATTATACTTAGCTTATAATAAGTTTTAAGTTTAGCTATTAGTTCTTACTAAAATTTAAATATAAAGGTGCTTTTTTTATTTAATATAATTTCTTTTAGTATTTTATATTTAGTAAATATATATTTTATATAAAAATATATTAAGTTTTTAGTATTATATATCTTTTTATATAGTAAGAAATATACTTACTTAGAGAGTTTATTTATAATAATAAAGATACTATTAAAGTGTTTTCCTATTAATAGGTTTTTTAACTTAGGTAAGTTAGTGATATGGTTAAATATAATAGTATATTAGTTTTTTTCTAGAACTAGGATTAGTTGTAGTTTTCTATATAGTTAATGCCTTTTATCTTTTATTTTCTTATATATATTGCATTTATTAAGGATTTCTTTAATAATTTTCTTTAGTCTTATAAACTTATAATAGCGGGTTATGTGGTTGTATATTGTCTTAAGGCCTTTGTGGGCTGCTATAATTATGCTTTAATATAGGTCTTAGATTACTTTTAGCTGTAATTCCTCTAGTATTTAGATTTTTTTATTTTCTTATATTAATAGATTATTTTTTATAGTAATATTTTCTAGGAAGTCTTTTAGTATAAGGTTATCTAGTTATAGTCCTTTAAATTATTCTTTAATTTTATTAAGGATAGGGTTATGTTCTTTTATAATAAATAAAGTATTAATTTATATTTATTTATAGTTATTGTTACTGTTTTTTCTTAGTACTTAGGCTTTAATTTCTAGAATTTCTTTAAAATGTTTTTCTTTTTTGCTTAATGTATTTACTTATTTATTAGTAATGCTGTTAATATAGATGAGTTTATAGTTAAAGTTTAAGAGTGTCTTAAGATATTATGTTTATTATATAAAGAGTTTTTATATCTAGGTAAAGTATATAATATTATAGTAATTTATATGTACTTTAACTTTATATTTATTTTTTAAATAATAGTGTTTTTATTTTTTAAATACTTTAAGAATTACTATGAATTTTTTATTATAAATAAGATATTTTAATTTTAGTTTATGTAGTTTTTAAAAGAAGAATACTATTAGATAATTTTTCCTATTTTTATTTTTTTATATTAGTACTTCTTTAATAGTAAAGTTTAATAAATTAGTTTTAATTTTTAATAGTTTATTAGGGTTATATATAATAAGTATAAGTTTACTAAGGAGTGTGTTTTTAAGTTATTTAAATATTACTTTTATTTTTAGTTTATATATAAGTTTCTTATTTTTTTATTTTTTCTTACTTTTTTTATTTTTTTTAAGTTAAGTAGTATTAGTAAGTGGTTTAGTAATTTTATTATAGTTTTTAATAAACTTTTAGTAATAGTTTACTAGGCCTAAGAAGCTTTATATTTCTTTTTAAGTTTTTAATAGTTTTTATTCTTAGATTACTTTAAGCTTATTAGGATTTATTTAGACTTGTCCTAGTAAAATTAGGTATCCTAGGAATTTAACTTTTTAAATGTAAAAGCTGTATTTTTTAAGCTTTACTAATAGATTAGTGTTTTATAGTGTTTATAGTATCTTATAGATGTATTTCTTATGTTTTTTAAGGGTTTTTAAGAAGATGAGAATATTATTAAGGTATATAATTATAAAGTTGTTAATATATATTTGTAATATATAATTAATTATTTATTAAAAGGTTGCTGGTGTATTAGTTAGCTTAAATAGTATTACTAAGTATTTAAATAATCTATAGCATGTTTTAAATGCTGTTTTCTATTTATCCTTTTTATAGATATAAATTAGGTTATATACTCCCTTAAGATTTAAGGCAGTAAACTAATTTACATTAGTTAGGCGGTCTTATATTTTTATAATAAGTGGTAATAGGGTTTAATTCTTAATAGTAATCTTATTTAGCTATTTATAGTTAATAACTAGTTTAAGTTTCCTATTTTTCTTTAGTATAAATATAATAGGGTATTTAGCTTATAAGGTAGATAATTTAATATATTTTTTTTTTAGCTGTTCTTATATTTATTCTTAAAGTATTTTAAGTTTTACTTTACTAAGATTATAAATTAGAAAGAACTTTATTATTTTTTTATTTATAAGATTTATATAGTAATTTTATTATAAGTAAAGTAGCTATATTATTTCTAGTGTTAAGCTAAATAGTTTCTTATATTTCCTTTAGTATTATTAAAATGCTTTTTAGAGAATATCTTTTAGTTTTTTATTTTTCTTTTTTTCTTTTACTTTTAATAATACTTTATCTAGGGCTTATAACTTTATTTAAACTTATATAATAATTTAGTTAATATATACTTATTCTCCTTTAACTTTCCTATAGTTATATTATAATAGTATTAGTAATTTTTTTATATTAAATTTAACCTTTTTTTTAGGTTTTGTTCTTTCTTTTATGTTTTCTTTATTTTATTATGCAGGAGATTTTGTTTTTAGGTCTAAAGGTGCGTCTTTACCTTCCTTGCCCTTTTTATAGCTTAGTTATAGCTCCTAGGTAATATCTTCTTCCTAGAGTATTTATTTTATTTTTTAGTTAATTAGTGGGTTACTTTATTTTAACTATAGGTGTCTTAGTATAATATTATAGGTATTAAGGCTTATAATATTGCACTTAATATCCTTAAGGCGTTTAGTAATTATTAAGGGGAGGTAATTAATCTTATATTTAATAACTATCTTATGTTTTAGATATATAATACTTAAAATATAAGATAGTATTTTCTTAGTAGTGCTTAGTAGCTGGAGTTCAGCTATTATATTAAGGGTAATAAGATTATAATCTGCACTACTATTTATATAAATTATAACTAGTTATTAGTTAATATACCCTTTAACTAATAGTTTTTTATTATTATATTTAATTAAGTTAATTTAGATATTATTTAAATGGGTTTAGTCTTATATAATATTTTAATATTTTATATATTACTTGTATTTTATATCTTAGATTTAGTTTTAAATTATATAGTAATACCTTTTAATTAAGGCTTTATTTTATTTTTTATTGTAAATATATATTTTAAAGTTATAACCTTTTTGCATTAGTCTTTAGGTTATCTAATAATATTAGTTTTTTTTTTATTAGTGTTTTAGGTAATTTTATATATTATAGTTAAGGAAGTAGTTCTTTTAGTATTTTAAGTTTTATAAATAGTAGTTTTATATTTTATACTAGTTTTTAAGTTTATTAAGAGTATGCGTTTTATAATATAGGGTGTTATATAGTGTTTAATTATTATTTCTGTAGTATTTATTAAATCTTAGGCTTTTTGCGCATTTGTTATTTAATAGGTAATAGGATTCTGGTAGGATAATATGTAATAGATTATAGTTAATAAGATATTTTTATACTAGGGGGTGTTCCTTTAGGTACTATTATTATTCTTCTTATTAGTAATATTCCTTAATTAGGGTATTTAAGACTTTATTATAGTTATATTATAAGTCCTATAAGCTGTAGGTGTTATATTTATTATAATTATAGTTAAGGTCCTGGGATTTATAAAGTTTATATTTATAAAAGTTT